ACACCTAATGATAAATGTAAACATATTGTATACCTAAAATGGACCAATAAAAGAACTTAAAGAAAAAAAAAAAAAGGATGCTCACCCCTCGGGAGAGCAACTACAGAGCACAGAGCAGACTGTCAGCCCCACCAGGCTGCAGCATCTGAGACGGGGGAAGGGGGGATGCCCAGCCATCTCTATTTCATCCAGAAGAAGCCAAGGCAGTCAGTTTCCTGGAGTCCAGGGGACCCTGAAGGACTCCTGGGCACAGGCCTGAGATGTCTTTATTCCTAAGCAGGAGGCAGGAGAGTTTGTCTCTATACCATATCTGGATACAGTGTGACACCTGGGTCCTGGCAGCCTCTTTGTGCTTCAGAGGGGCCTTGCCTAGGGCAATGCTGACCTCTATGGAGTGTGCTATGTGCCAGGCAGGCCCTGTGCGGAGCATCTGGCATTGGCTGAAAGTGCTCTAGCTCTTCCTAGTCTGGGAGCTGCTAAAATCAGGCCTGGTCCCAGTGGGGTAGGGTGGTGGGGTCAGAGGATGGTGACATGGCATGGGGAGTACTGTGGAATCAGAGGCCTGCAGGACTGGAGAGCAGCGGCCCCCATGCTGGGGCTCCCGCTGTACCCCGAGCCTTCCTCTCAGGGCTGGGCCTCTTCCTCATCTTCCCCTGTGAGAGTCTGGCCAGTCACTTCCTTCCTGCCCAGAGGCCGCACAGCGGGACTCTCATCTAGTTTTCTGGTAACCGGACAGGCACCATGGCCCATTTCTGGGAAGGGAGCAGCGCAGGGGCACGCAGGCTAGAAACCTCGGAGCCTGGGCTGTGGGAAGTGGGTACAGGCAGAGCCCACCTGGGTGGCAGACAGCGGGGGCAAAGGGAGCTGGGAAGAGAGCCAGCTGGCCGAAGGGGCACAGCCCGAGAGAGGACCGGGGTCTGCCTGGGAAGGAGCGGCGAGGCTCCATTGTCTTCAGGCCCTACTCCCACCCGGGCTGGGCTCCTGGGGGTGACAGGGAGACTCAGGAAGCAGAGAGGGAATGTGCGCCACCCCGGGCCGCCTGTCCAGCAAGGACCATGCTCCTCTTAAGAAATTATACAGAGCTTTATTAAATAAAACAAGGAGAAAGGAACTTATGGACATCCAGTTTGTCAGTGTGAGCTCAAGTAGTAGGCAAGGCACAAGTCATCTGCTCTCCAGCTTCCTTCATCACCCGTGGCATGGCCGGAAGGACCGAGGTGGTTCACATTTGACCTTCAGAGGCAGACGGCCCTGTGGAGTCGTGTGCCTTGGTGTCCCTGTGTGGCTGGCTCCGGGCAGCCTCCAGATCTCCCTGAGGGTAGCGTGGCCTTGCGGCCAGGAGCAGAAGCCCTGTACTCCCCAGGTCTGAGCTGACAGGAGCGGGGCAGAGGAGGGCTCCCGGCTGTCACTTCCTTGGGGTGTCCTTCCTAGAGGGCAGGCTGGGCTTTGGGGCCTGCTGGGAAGCTGCCTGGGGCCTGGGCCAGCAGGGAGTCAGCTGACCTGGAGAGGCTGCCTCCCTCTGTGGCTGGGCAGCAAAGGCTCAGATCTGCTGAGGTACTGCAGTGTGCACCTCCCAAAGACAGGTGACACTGGGTCCTTGTGCTGAGGGGAACATGGTGGCGTCACAGAACAAATGGGGTGGGAGGTCCCTGCTACCAGCCTGAGAATGTCCCCACGCTGCGGAGGAGCCAGGCAGGGACAGAGTAGAGGGATCCCCCCTGGGGATGGCCCAGCAGGGATGAAGCCACATCCACTGGGTGTTTCAGCGGCTTCTGAAGCACAGGACCAGAGGACGAAGGCTTTTCACAGTGGTGCCAGAGGGCTCAGCTACCCAGGGGCTCCGGACAGTCATCCTTAGGCTTCCAGGGCCAAAGCAGGCAGGCCCAGGGCAGTCGAATTTGTTCGGCCACATTTCCTAGTAGCAGCCAGACTAGGAGAAGATTTCACAGGGGGAAAACCCACACCAAGGGCTAGGGAGTAGCTCAGTGGTAGAGCACTTGACTAGCATGCTCGAGGCCCTGGGTTCATCCCCAGCACCACACACACGCACGCGCGCGCGCACACACACACACACACACGTACCCCAAACCCCAAAAGCAACTAGAAAATCCTTTCCCTGAGACAACTACAGTAACATCATCTTCAGATACCTTCTAACAAGAGTTTGCAACTGCTCCAAGTGTTTAGGAGACAGTGGTCTGTAACAATGCTAAGAAAATAAAAACATAGTTGAACTGTGTCCAGAAATCCTAGACAGCTACGCATGATGGAATGGGCCGGCCAGTCTTAGCTTTGCAAGACTTGGAAGAGAAATTTTGTTGTTGTTTGAGACAGGCTCTTGCTCTATGGTCCAGGCTGGCCTTGAACTTTCGATCCACCTGACTCAGCCTCCCGAGTGCTGGGATTACAAGTGTGCGCGATCGCATCCAGCTCTGGAAGGGAAATTATAAAAAACAAGCCTAAAACTCCTACATATGAGAATAAGCTAATAAGCACAACTAGACCTCCACTCTACGAAAGCAGAGGGGCAGCGAGGGTGGGCCGGGGCACAGGCGCGGGTCTCAAGGGCCTTGTTCCAGCATGAACGTGGCAGGGGCATCCCTGTTGCCAAGGCATCGTGGGGAGCTGTCATCAGCACCAGACTCTGGATGCTGGCTAGCGGGAGGCGTAAGCTGGGCTCCAGAGCCCTGAGGGAGGACTGGCTTTGCGAGCAGGAGGCAGCGTGTTGAAAGGGCTCAGTGACGAGGCAGCGAAATCTAGGGAGAAGACAGGAAGTGAGTGTCATGGGTTGCTGGACATTTCTCTAATACTCATCAGCCAGTTCTAGTGTCTCTGAAGTCCCTGGTACACACGAGGGACACTTTCCTAACAAAGACCAGAGGGTGCCCCGGGAGCTTGCAGAGCTGACATGTGAGGGGCCGACATTCAATCTGCAGTGCCCAAACTGTGCAGCTGTCCAGAGCAGTCCTGTGTGTCTACATCCTGCTTGAGGGTCCTCTGCCCTGCACAAGACAGGCTGGAGCAAGCTCCTAAGAGTGCTATGGGGACCCATGAATAAGCTCCAAGGGCCCTGGACAATTTCCAACTCCTAGGAATGTTTTGAAAGAGCACATGGTTTTGTGGAAGGAAGCCCTGTCCTAGGGAAGCAGACTCCACATACTTCCCGGGGTGGACTGCTCAGCAGGCTTCTGTCCCGCTTGTGCCGGGCAGATCCTGCAGGGGGCGCTAGCCTGTCTGATGGTGCCTGGGTTTGTGGGAGTCACCCTAGGGTCTCTGCACGGTGTCCAGAACATCCGGAGCCCTCGCTCCTCCAGCAGGCTCTGCCTGAGACACAGGCACACCAGTTGGGCTGGCCTTGTCCCCCATGCACCCCAAGGGCAGACAAGGCTCAGAGCCCGACCCACCCTCCATCCCATGGTTCCTCGTCCTTCGCTAAGGCTGGGCCTGGCGGTGCCTGGCTGCGGGGGGGCGACTCACAGTGGGGGCTGTGCTGCGGGCTGGCTTGGGGCGTGAGAGCCGGAGGCGCTGTGAGCTCCCGGGGTGTAGAGACCATGTGGTAGGCTGTAGGAAGCACGGCTGGTTAGGCTGGGAAAGGACAGGACAGACCTCCCAGAAACGCCGGAAGCAGGTGCCTGCCTTACCTATGATCATGACCGCCGACCCAGCCAGCAGAGCGAAGAGCGTGAAGAACATGACTTGGTAGGAATCGAGGAAGTGCTGAAAGAGGCTGCTGCCATCTGCCAGTGATGGAGAGAGCGGTTAGCCAGCCCACCAGGCCCTGGTGTTGTTCCTGCACTGCCTACCCGTGAGAACCCACCCCAACACCTGCTGCAGCGGAGACAGTGGTGCTCAAGCCAGCCTTAGACAGGGCAGGGACTTCCCAGGGTGCTGTGCTGCTGCCCGGGGCTCCAGCCCCTCCTCTTGGAGCCTGCTCTGCCAGGACTCAGCTTCCTTCTGGGCATGCTCTCCTCCCGTCATTGCTCAAGGCTGGCAGGTGGGCTTCTGTGCCTTCTCTGCCAGGGAGGGCCAGGCTGCTCCAAAGGCAAGCGAGGAGTTCTGAAGAGGCCAAGTGGCTCTCCTTGGGGCACAACCGGGAGCCCAATGTGTCCTGGCCAAAGCTGCGCTTCCTTCTCCTCCTCCCTCGTCCTCAAGCCCCCCACTGAGAGCTGGTCAGAGACCAAGCGCTGCCTTTCTGCTCCCTCTGCAGCCACCTCCAATCAGGCAGACAGCGCTGCCCAGGCCCCTGCTCTGCTCTGCTTAGCAAAAAGCGCTCCATGCCCACCCCGGGGTCTGTTGCACTGACTGCTTGGCCCTGCCCTGGCCACTCATCCTCGAAGACCAGCGACACAGCCCTTCTGTGCTGGGCCCTGCTGCCCACAGAGGAGACACGAAGCCCTTTCCTCGGCGCAGCTTCGGAATTGTTCTTTCCACTCGAATCTGCAATTCTGAGTCCTCTCTACACAAGGATCTAGCCTGTGACAAGTGACCAGCGGTGACTACAGAATAAGCGACCCCCTTCACTCAGCAGTGCCCGTTCACTGAGTGCCTACTGTATGTCAGAGCCCTGCTCTCGGGGTAGCCCCCACATACCTAGCCTTTGGTGTGGGGGTTGGCCAGGGACCCCCATAATGAACTGTTTCTCTAAAGACTGACAGTGGCAACTGTGCCAGCGGCAAAAGAAAAGGGCCAGGTGTCGGGAGCGTGGCTGGGATTGCAGTAGGCACCGAGATGAGATGCGGTATCGGGGGTGGCTTAGTAGGTCAAGGGATTATCTGGGGGGCGGCGTCTTGGCAGAGGGGTGCGTGGAGGACCGAGGGCTCGAGTTCTGGAAGTGGGAAGGAGTGTAGTGGGGCAGGGGGCACTGGGAGATGAGTCGGAATGAATGAGGAAGGCAGAGGGCAGGGGCCTGGGGCCATCGGAGGACGGGCTTTGCCTGGGGACTATGGGGCTGTGTGGGCTGCTGAGCAGAGGGTTGCCTTGCTGGGAGCAGACACGGGAGCAGGGAGGTAGTGACTGTCACCTCCAGGGACATTCTGCACCTGTGACTCTTCCAATTCTCACACTGCAGGTTTCTTCTGATACCCCAGGCGGTACTGGCCTGTCCCTCCCTGCCCCACCCCATGACTCACAGGGGCTGGGCCCGTGGCGGTCCATCACGAAGGCCACGGTGACAGGGATGGTGATGGCCTGGTTAGTGGCAGGGCTGGAGAAGGTCAGGGCTGTGGACAGAGGCATCTGGGTGCCAGCCACAGGGTCCGAGATGCCGACCGTGTATGTGACGAAGCTGGGCAGCCCCAGGGACTTCTCCTTCTGGAAGGCCAGCACGGCTGGGGACCCGGACTTCACCTGGGAGAGAAGTCAGGGCTGGGGGTGTGCACTCTGCAGTAGCCCTTAAGCTGGACACAGAGCACGCCCTTCCTGGGCCCAGGGGACACCAGTGGGGACCTCTGTCCAGACCACACCTCCCAGACATGGTGGTCTGGGACACTTTTCACACCCAGTGCACTGCCTGCAGAACTGGAAGCACTGCCTACACTCAGGGCTCTTGTTAAGGAAGGACAAATCAGTATCATCACTGAAGTCTGAACAAGCAGTGTTTTAAAAAACACTAAACCGGCTGGGGATTTAGCTCAGTGGTTCTGCTGCCTGCCTCGCAAGTGCAAGGACCTGAGTTCGATCTCCGGTACCAAAAAACCAAAAAACACTAAACCAACATGCAGAACCAGCAAGCACCATGCCTCCAAGGGAGCAGCTGGGCTCTGTGTAAGGCCTTTCTAGTGACAGTCCCTGCCCAGGCCTGGCACCCTCACCAGCAGCTACAGCCTCGCTCCTGGTTCCTGTTGGGAACAGCGGGACAGCAGGAGCAGAGGAGGAGCAAGCAGCAGCATCGGCAAGGGGCAAGTCCGTCATCATCCCCCCCCCCATGGCTCCCCGGGGCCTCAGGGCTCCTTCACTGCCATGCCAGGCAGGTGGGAAGGGAGGCCGGGGACAGGACGCTTGTCCCCAGGAGGGATCAGGCCACAAGTGCACTTATCCATCTATCATGCTAAATGCTCACTCAGCACATCCTTGTGTTCTAAGTGCTGCCCTCATAGCTGAACTTCCAGCTGGGGTTGACCAGCAGATAAAATAATTATCGAAATTATATAGGTGGCTGGTGTGGGGGTGCATGCCTGTGATCGCAGCTACTTAGGAGGCAGGAGGACCCCAGGGTTGAGGCCAGGCTGAGTAACTTCACAAGACCCTGCCTCCAAGTAGAACTTTTAAAAAAAGGACCGGGAATGTAGCTCAGTAAAGTTGCTTGCCTGGTATGTGTGAGGCCTTGGGTTGAATTCCCGATATCGGCAAAAAATTTTTTTAAATTTACTTAGATAAATAGAGGAAAATTGTGTAAGGACAAATGAAGAGGGTAGGGCTGGGGATTTAGCTCAGTGGTTTTGCTGCCTGCTGCACAGGTGCAAGGACCCGAGTTCGATCCCTGGTACCAAAAAAAAAAAAAGAAGAGGGTGACAGTATTTTGATTTTTAAAAAGTCTAAACCAGGTGTGGTGTGCACATCCAGAATCCCAGCACTTGGGTGGCTGAAGCAGGAGGATTATGAGCTCAAAGCTGGCCTGCACTACACAGTGAGATGCTATGGCAAAAAAAAAAGTCATTTAAATTCTAACTGTGATTTTAAAGAGACGTGGCCTTGACACCCCACTCCTTCCTCTGGCTCTTTTCCACGACCTAGCTCCTGCCTGAATGGAAATCCAGGGATGCCCCTCACCTCCAAGCTCTGCAGTGTCTCCACGGCACCGAAGATCTTGACCTCAGAGCTGGTGTAGTGGTTGCTCAAAAGGATTTCAGCCTGGTCAGCGTAGAGCCGGGGGCTGAAGGGCACCTCTGCCCCGACATGCTCCTCGGAGGAGTGGCTGCCAGGGAGGGAGGCGGTGACCACCAGCACCGTCGTCTGGCTGCTCAGGTGCTTCAGCTGCATGTCTGTCAGTCTGCGCGTGGTGACTGAGCAGAAGTACTGGCCTGCAGAGAGAAGAGCACGTCACCTGGTCCTCTCTAGACCGGCTCCTCTAACTGGGAAACTCCTGCGCATCCTCCGGAGCCCTGGGGAGAACTCGCCTTTCTGGTCAACCCCTCTCTGTGACCAATGGCCCTCATTATTTCAGAACCTTCTTTTCACCAGATCCCCGTATGAGTGGTGCTCCAGGGGCAGGAAGCACATCGGAGCCAGCCTGGCCAAGAGGGAGGGCAAATAAATGGCAGAGGATACTCTGCCCTGATGTGGGGCTGAAAGTCAAGCCAGGGCTGACTCTGAGATGGCCTATGCCCCACTGCACCCGGGGGCTCTGTGACCTGTCACTGTTTGGACTCCAGTCCTATGTTCCCTGCTGACCCACAGAACAAACAGATGCTTGTGAAGCTCCGCACACCTGGGCCCCGGACGCTGGGTTTGGTCCCTTCCATGCCTGGGTGAGTCAACCTCCTCCTGTCTGCTGTGTGAGCCCCTGAGCCTAGGCCCGGCGCTTACACGTCCACAGGACACATCTGCTGTCCAGCAGACAGTGCACCTCGGCCAGCACGCTGGGGGGCTAGCCTGGTGCTGGCCTCGGGTATGCTCCGGTCCCCAGCATGTGCCCAGGACAGCCTTGACTATTTAATAAGGACGCCTCCTTCCGCTTTTCTCCTGAGGCAGGGCAAGGCACCACTGGCCCCATTTCAAGGAGAGGTGGCTTAGCAGGAAGCAGCCTCACCCCAAGGAAAATGGCCAGGGCTAGAGAAGAGGACTCCAGCCCGGGTTTGGGGGCTCTGCATCCTTTCTCCCGGCTGTGTGTGGCAGTGCAAGGCCAGCCATTCCTCACGCTCCTGGGGCCACAGAGGGCAAGGCCCTGGTAGTAACCCTGAGCTGGATTCCCGACAACCTCCACCTGTCAGACAGATGGCCTCAGGAGCCACACAGGGACCTCAGACACCCACAAGACAGAAACCCTTTCAAATCCCTGCAGATTTACCCAGAGCAGCATCAAACCCTGGCTCGACAGTGAAGACGTCCTGTGCTGGGAAACTGAAGACATCTTGCTTGAACCGGAAGCGGCAGCCAATGAGCAATTCGGGGTGCAAGGTCTCAATGACGTCCTTCTGCGAGGGGGAGCACTCACCTGCAGAGCAGGAGGCGGTGAGGAGGGCCCCACGAAGGCTGGCAGGGCTGTAGATGGCACCTGTGCCCATACTCCTTCCCACATGGGCAGCCTGGGCTGCCCACAGCTTGGCGAGGATGATTCATAGAACCAGCTTGGTTCACGGAAACTGAGGGTATGTTATGCAGAAGGTCACCCTGAGCCCCAGTCATTTCGGCTCAGAATTCTTCGTGGGCTCTGAGCCGACACCAAGGGCCACAGCTGATGGCTGGGCACATTGACGCCAGGGGTAATGAGCGATTTATGTCTGGACATTAGGAGGGCGGGCAACAGTTCCCCACTAATACCCTGAGTACCACTTAGGGGGCAACAGAGTATTATCCACTTGCATGAAGGCAGGAAAGGAGACTGAGGCCGTGTAATGAGCCTGTACTGTTAATCGCAATGAGAAAGGTGTTTAATTCTACCAGTCAAGTGACTTAAAAAAAATAAAACCAGCAGCCTCTATTGAGTTATTTATTTCTAACAGCTGCTGTCCAGGGCTGTCACAGGCAGGGGACAAGGTATTATGTTTTATGCATGGCTTGGGAGAGGTAATTATAAAAATCAAAACCAGCAACCATTCTTGCTAAGTCATTAGTTTCTCCTATTAATGGTGGCAAATTGCAGCTTTCTTTGCTCTGGTGCCCTAGGGCTGATGGCGCCTCTGACTCAGAAACAGGCGATTTCTGGGAGCTGGCTCTTTCATGAAGATTTCTTTCATGGGCTTGGAGTGTGGAGGCCTCGGATTGCTAAGAAGCTGCACAGAGTGGATGAGTTGGGGCTACAGGCTCTCTCTGGGGTCAAGGTGAATTTGATAAGAAAAGCAAGGTGGCAGGTGGAGCTGGGTGGTAGAGCCCTTGTCCACTAGCACGGGTGAGGCTCACACTTCCACCCCAGCACCGGCCTGACAAAAGCAAAGCCCCTTCCGAAGGGTGTAGGAAGCCACTTCCAGCTCCCCTGACCTCGCAGGGCCCTCCCCAGACCGCAAGCCCCCACTGTGCTTCAGACCTCTTAGGTTCGAACTCCTATCTCCCACGGTGATGGTCACTCGGGAGGCTGTGGCCTCCTGGAAGCTGGTCTGGGCGGGGTGGACGTGATGGGCCACAACCCTCTTTGGGACGCTGACCACGACCTAGGGAAAGAGTGAGGAAGCCTGAGACATGAGTGCTAATTACCCGCTTCCCAGGTGATGGGACTGGGCCTCGGAGCAGAAGCGCCCTTCGGCCTTCGGGGGGCTGTGACTGGAGCTGGGTGGTCAGACCAGCATCCCAGCTCTCCCGCTGCATGGCCTTCCCCAACAGCAGGCCAGGGACAGACTGCAGAGCAGAATGCACTTCCCTGGCTGGCCTGGGCTGCGGTTTTGTGGATTTGGGCTAGAGGGACAGCCATGATGACTCTTCTGTTCATGAATTTGGTTAACCAGCCCTTGTAGCAAAGAGAGAAGAATCTGATTTATTCACAGCAGATCCATGTGAACAAAATGCCCAGAAAATAAGGCCCTAGGATAATAAGCCCAGCTTTCCTGTAATTGCCTTCACCCAAATGCCCCTGCCCACCTGGGCAGGGCCCACAGGCCCCAAACCTCCATGGTAGAAGGCAGACCTGGTCCCTGAGCAGGCACCACCACTTCCAGTCCTGCACAATCTGTTTCCAGCAGGCTGGGAACACCCCGAGAGCAGGGCCGAGGCTTCACCTCCCAGGAGCCCCCGAAGCTCCCAGGGCTCTTGCTGGTGTCGGGCCGCAGGTGGGCCCCTGGGGGTCCTGCTGCCCAGCACCTCCTCCTCTCAGAGTCACGTGTCCCCACAAGACTGAGGCTGATCACTGCTGCCCGGGCCTCGGTGCCCATCCCCGTCTGCTCATCTACTCCTGACCGCCATGCTGGTCTGCCCTCCACTTCCCCAAATCCCCTAGCCGTCCCCAGACCCCCCTGCCAAGGCCCTGTGTTCCTGCCACACCACCTCTGCTCAGGGACACTGGGTCAGCTCCAGCCTTCTGTATGGGGCTCCAGACTCCGGCCGGCTGTCCCCCAGCTTCACATGAGGGGTGACACCCACCTCAAAGCCACTGTGCCCCCGATTGTCTCCCACCATCCTCTGCACTCCCCTCCCAGAGCAGAGACCATCATCAACCAGGTGTCCATGTCGGACCTGGGAGGCACTCCAAGCCCTCCTTCCCTCACCCCCACTTCCAGATAGTGTCAAGCTGGGGTGATTCCCTGCCCAAACCCACCCTCGGTTTCCGCCCCACCCACCTGTCCTGGCTGAACCTCAGTACTGGTCACACCCTGGTCTGTACCATTCTGACTAAAACAAAAAACCCCAACAAAACCCACTAGCAAGGGCCTTGCCTCTGTGCCCTGGACCAGCAATGGTGGCAGCTCATGCCCAAGAGGCGCCTGCAGACACTCAGCCCCACGCCGAGTGCATCCCAACATGCTGGTGTGTTTCATCTTCCTAGGGAAACTGAGGCTTGGGGACAACTTGCCCCACGTCTCACAGCCCTGCAGTGGCCAGGAGGGGCTCTGGGCCCCACGACCTTTTTGGGGACAGTGGGATCATACTGCATTGCCCAGGGTAGTCTCAATCTCACGGGCTTCTGCGTTCCTGCTGACTCTGTCCCGAGTAGCTGAGATGACCGGTGAGCCCAGCTGGCCCACGTTCTTCATCACTGCACCCAGCTACCCGTCACCTGCACACAAAGCCAGACCCAGCCTCTGCTCTCAGACCTCGCCCACCTGGCCACATGCAGACCCCTCTCCGGACCACTCCAAGGGCCTCTTCCAGGAAAGCACCCGTCATTAAAAACAAAGCACCTCTCTCTGCAACCTGCCTACCCAAACCGCACAGTCGCAGAGCTAAATATGCAAACTATTAGGTTAAACTGCTGGATTCGATCAAGCACATGCTGGCTCTCAAAATGAGATGCATTTGGAACTCAGCCAGACTGGGCTCATGGATTCATTCGCGGCTGCAGATAAATGCAAGAGAGAATGAATGGTTTTCATTCGCCTCCAGAAAGATTTCAGAGGTGACTTGCTGGGGAGGTTTAACTGCTGGTGACACCAAATTTCTGGGCTGCCCCACCCATGGCCAGCGCTTCCCCCTCAGGGAAGTGCCCACCCCGGTGGCTGTGTAGCTGCCCGGCTCCCGGCCCGTGGGTGGGAGCTGGAATTGTCACATCAGTTTGGTGCATGTGATGGAGGCCTGGGAGGAACAGGGAACTCGTGCCCAGCTCAGATAGCGAGTGGGCGATCCTGACCGCTGTGGACAGCTCCAGGTGGCTGGTGTTTCTTACAGAAAAGGGAATCATAATGTATGAGTAGCTGCCAGTTCTGCATCCATGGATTCCACAGACGATGGCAGATCAAAAATATTCTGGGGAAAAGAACTGTCTGTATAGAAATGTGCAGCTTATCTTCCTTATCACGATTCACTGAACAATGCGCTCTAACAACCATTTCCGTAGCACTTACATCCCATTAGGTTTACAAGGAATCTAGAGATGATTTAAGGTGCACTGAGGATTAGATGCATCCAAGGCGCCCAGCACACAGGGACCTGTGCATCTGCAGATCCTGGTGTCCAAGGGGACCTTGCCACCAACTCTCAAGGATGAGACCAATGCACTTGTTTTTTTTAGTACCGGGGATCGAACTCGGGTCCTTGCGCTTGTGCAGCAGGCGGTGAAACCACTGAGCTAAATCCCTGGCCCCCAATACACTTTTAAAGAAAAGATTTTACAACCTCATGCCGTGGATTCTCTACCACGCCTTGCAGGCTGTGATCCACAAGGGCCTCTGACCACCTTCAAGCCCCACCTCCTTGTAGGTCCTCAGGTGCCCGGCGACCTCGTAGTAGATCGTCACAGGTCCCACATCCTGGGCCACAGCCACGCCTGTCTTGGGGTCCACTTGGAGGATGCTGGCGGCTGAGGAGCTCCAGGTTCCTGAGATGCCTGGGAGAGGAAGCCCTGGTGTCACCCATAGGCCATACCTCAGGGCACCGCGGCCAATGCCCTCGCCCTTCTGGCTCCTACTGCACCTGCTCTGGTGGGGTGGGGGCTCCCAGGCCCTCTTGCTCCACCCAGTGCCTCCCTGTCTGGAGTCTCTCGTCATCCCCCCATGGGGCTCTGCCTGGGATGGCTGGGTGCTGTCCATTGAGCCCCGCTATCCCCCAAACCCTTCACACAGCACGGCTCCCACGCAGCCCCTGCTCATGACCAGGGCCTTTCAGTAAACAGAAAGCAGGTGTCAGGCCCAGCACCTTGACTAGATGGCACTTCTCAGTTCAAAGGCAATCACATTATACAATAAACTCAATTAAAAAACTCAACAACCCTATTCTATTTATGGTAGATTATATTTGTTTTTCTTTAAAGGTAGTGTTTAATTTCTTCTTCAGATGAATTAATGAGGGAAAATGGGAGCCGATTGAAAAATAAAAATTAAGCAAATAATTAAGCCTGAGTTCCCTGGTTGTTGGGTGGCACGGGAATGCCTGAATTTGGAAACCACTAGCCGGAGCCATTGGCCATGCAAGACATCAAAGCGACAAATTCAGTTCCCCAGGTGAATCAGTCACATGCCGAGCGTTTGCTTGCTGGAGGTTACTGGATTAGACAGTGGGAATGCAGGAGATTTCTACAATCCCAGAAAATTCTACTGGATGGTGCTATTCTAAGGCGGGGCTGGCAAGCACTCTACAAAAGACCAGATGGTAAACTGGGCCGCACAGCCCGTTCGATCTCTGCCTTTGAAGAATGGGGGTAGCTGGGTTCCAATACAACTGGATTCGTGGAACACAGGCTGAGTGTGGCCCTTGGGAGCCGCACTCCAACCGCTGCTGCAGAGCCTCTACAGGCTCCACCTGTGCACCTCCTGTGACAGTGCTCCCCCTCCTGTTCCAGCATGTATGGAGACTCTGAGGTGTCCCTGGTCGGGGTGCCTCTCACCTTCCAGGCCGGTGAGCACAGTGGCCAGGCAGAGGACGTCCCCTACCACCAGCATTCCAGACAGCTCCGGGGAGATGGCCTGCAGGACAGGCAGCGGGATGTAGTCGGAGAGGCCGGGGTGCTCAGCGTCCCACACGCGGAGCAGAGTCAGGCCCACGCTGACTGTGCGGACGACGCAGGTGTTGTTAGTGGTGCCCTTGCCAATCTGCACAAAGTCGTCTCTGGGTGCACAGGAGAGAGGGGGGCGCGGGGTCAGCCTCGGGAGAGGCAACCCTGAGTCCTCTGGTCTGGCAGCCACCTTGGAGAGGGCGGGGTGGTGCAGTTCCTTCCACTGTTCGGGGCCCCCAGTGCTGTCCTTTGCCACGCCCAGCCACAGCATGACACATCTGCTGCACATCCCCTGGAAGGGATGGCTACCAACATCTGGATGTGTGCTCTCCCTCATGCTGATCTGTCACCTCTGAGGTGGTCTGTGGACCCTCCGGGCAGCGCCTCTCAACTCTAGACTCACTCAGACCACAGGGCCCTGTGAATGTGCCTGCTAGCCACCAGGGGACCCAGGGACAGGATGTCTGGCAGGCCAGGCTGAAGCGCCGCCTTCCTCAGGAGGCTGTCCTTTCCTCCTCCTATCAGGACTGGGCTGCAGCCTGAGGGAACTGCACTTGGAGCTGGGTGGGACCCCATACGCAAGCTCCACTTCCTGGCTCTGTGCGCCTGGGAAAATGGCCCAACCTCTCTGGCTCTCTGCACCTGGGTCTGGCTCACAGAGGACCTCGCATGAGGAAGGAGCACCACTCCCACCTACCTGTTAGTGGCGAAGTTGAGAACAGAATTATGAGCATGGAAGATGTCTCCGAAGCTGTCGTGGAAGTGGGCTGTGAAGGTCACGGTCATCCCCACCGGCAAGGCCATCAGGGCTTCCTTGTTGTGGGTGTGCAGGACAGGGCTCATGGACACCCTCAGGTAAGAAACAGGCGACACCTGGAGAACATTGCACTGGTCTGGTGATGCCCTGCACTGGGGCCTGGCCTTCCCAAATGTTCCCCTCCTGGGATGAGATGCCTGCCCCGGGGGTCCCCAATCTTAGGGACGACTGGGGGGACTGGCTTTGGGGTCTTCAGGAAAGGAAAGGCTTTGTTCCTCAGAGAAGGCTCAGCTTGGTGTAGTGGTGCACCATGCCTGTAATCCCAGCACTCTAGGAGGCTGAGGCAGGAGGGTCACAGTTTGAGGCCAGCCTGGGCAACTTAGTCAGACACCTTCTCAAAAATAAACGATGAAAAGGGCTGGGGATGTAGCTCAATGCAAAGGCCCTAGTTCAATCCCTAGTATGGCAAAACAAAAACCAATCATGTTGCAGACCCTGAGTTGGCCCTGAGCACCAGAATGCCAGTGGGAAGCCTAGGACACTGATCCAGCTCTGTGACCTCACTGGGCCTCAGTTTCTCCATCGAGGAGGGAAGGTAAGTGGTCACAATCATCTCTCTGACAGCCCAACAGCTATCTGGGACCTCTGCCCCAGGCGAGTCTTAGATCAATTCCTTCCTGGAGTTTCTCCACTAGAGACAGGAAAATCACTGCTGAACTATGATTTGTATGATCCAAAATGGGTAAAGTACACATGCTACCTTCACAGCAATGATGATGGTTTGGTTGGCCCCAAAAGGCTCCTGGGCTGTCACTTCCATAGTGGACATCCCGACCACTGAGCCGGATACCAGGAAGCCCCGAGCATCGACGTGCGCCACGGGGACCCTCTCCGGCCCATCGAGGACTCGATAGCTCAGCGAGGCTGCACCGTCCCTTTGGGAAACAACAGACGTGTGGTCACAGATGGCCTGAGGAGGCGCACCCCAGGGAGGGCCCGGCCCCCGTGCCCTGGGGTCCAGCCGTCTGCAGCTTTTGAGTGCTCCTGGGAGACTGAGGAAGTTGGTCCTGGCTGTGGCACATCAGGCCCTCAGGCTGCCACCGTCTGCAGCCCCATCGGTCACCCAGCAGAAAGTGAATCCAGGAACCTGCAGTGGCAAGGACAGTGCCTCCCTCTCCTCCCGGTGGCTTCTGGGGGGCGGGGCGCGGCCAGTGGGAAGCGGGTCCACGAGGCTGGGTCGGGTCCACCAGAGACACGGGACACTTATTGTCGAGATCCTTTCCACAGCATGTGGTTTTCAGCTTACTGCAACAGGCTGGCCTGGCACGGTTGAGAGAGGACTGGGCTTTGAGTCAACAGGACCCAGGGCTGGGCCTGAAGCCACCTCCTAGCAGTTGCCTCAGATTCCTCGCTGCAAAGAGGGAGTGATGATCCTGCTCTGTCCTATCTTGTAGGGCTGGCAGCAGGACAACAACAGTGCACCTGCTAGGAAAGGGGTTTTCAAACCACTGACACGTGCGTGCACTGTGTCGAAGACCATGCAGTATTTTATACTTTAATAAAGAAGGAACACAAAGAGCAGGCCTCTGGTTCCCAGGGCCAGTTTCCTCTGAGTTTCAGCAAGTGTTTTGTCTCTGCCTCTAACTTTCTTCCCCTACCAACTCCCTCCTTATAACCCAAGAACTCCTATACATCCTTCAAGACCCCTGGGTCAAGCATCTCCCCTATAATGTTCACGGCCAGGCTCTTTGTTAGGGACTGGCTCGATGGTTACACATCATTTTCTTACAGCCCTTTCTTGCTGTCCACCTCCAGGGGCACCTTATGTCACTCATCTATGCTCCTGGTTCCTAGCACAGCATCAGGCACTCAGCTACTTCTCATATGAACTCTCTGTGTGTGTTTCATGCAGTATGTAAGTGGTGGTGTGGCCCACAGAGGGCCCTGCTTGGCTACTGCACTTGGGTACAAGTCCTCTATAGTAAGAAGGCGGCCCTCGGAGTCCCAGGTGGGAACTTTGTTTGCAGAGCCTCCCTGCCTGCCGCTGTATGTCTTTTCCGTGTCAGGCCTGGGCTGGGGCCCAGGATCTGCACTTTAAATTGCTCCCTGGGGCAGCTGCTATTGCTAATTCACGGGCTACGCTTTTGAATGGCAAATCCTAGAAACACAGGGGCATTTGAAAATTTTAATATTTCCAATTTGGTACTTTTCCACTTTTTAAATACTGAATTTCAGCAAGAAGCATGAAAGTGTGTCTGGGCTGCAGGGCGCCTTGGGAGCAGGACTGCGGAGGAACAGAGGAAGCGCGGGGAGGAGAGAGCGGGCTGAGGCCTCTCGATTCAAGCCCAGTGCCCAGAAAGCCTCCCTGAGAGCCAGCTCCTGACACCTTGACAAATGAGGTGTCGGATGCAAGCACAGCTCCTGGACTCTGCTGGAAACGGGCTGAGTCACGTACCTGTTTGTTTGGAGCTTTATAAACGAGTTGGGTGACATTAACATTTGTTCTGCTTCTATTTCAGGGTTCAGCAGCTGCAGCTTTTCAAACACCTGGAAAAGAGGGCAAGCCGTATTTCCTGTCACACTGAGGCATGTCCAGTCTGGGTGTCGCCTTTGCTCTTGCCACGTGGAGACTACGGACGAGGAAAACTGTCCCCAGCCCCTGCCATGTGGTGGCGGACGTCATGGGAGGGCCGACTTTCAGAGAGGCCATGGTGTGAAGAGGAAAAGCAGGCGGGTCACGTGCCCCAGGGCAGCCAGGGGCACCAGTTAGAAAGTGCTGCCTTCCAGGACGGACACATGAGGAGGGGGTACACAGCACCCCAGGGCTCCCCTCCTCCTTTCTGTCCCCAAGACATCCTGCCAGCCAATGTCATCCTCTCAGGACAGCCCATCCCTCTCTCTCCTCAGCCTCTCGAGGGATTCTGGGATCAGGGCTGTGGCGGTGAATTGGGTCCAGCAGGTGACACACCAGATACTGCCAATCAAATGTGACCTCCCAGGTTCTCCACAGCTCTCGGTGGCTCCTGGCACCCACAGATGCAACAGAACCAGGACCTCCGGCCCTTCTCAGCACACTCTTACCATGGCCACTGCTGCCTCTGGCCCTGTGACTAGGGCTGGTGGGGACTGGGGCCCTCCCTGGCTTCCAGCCTGCACAGGCACCCTTGCTGGGCAGCGCTTGCTGTATGCTGAGGTCCCCAAGTGACTTCTGATCAGACCAGCAGGATATCCCTAAGGCCTGCGCACCCGAGTAGCATCTGATGTCACCTGAGCTGATGGGTGACTTCCCAAAGGACACTGGCTGGCTCTCCTGGCCCTCAATGCCTCTGTGCACTGAGCACATAGAGAAGGCTCTGTTTTCTCATCTGTAAAGTGGTTCTGAAATGAATCACCCTTGCCATGCCGGTCTCACAGAGGGGTGGGACTCATGTGACCTAAGCCAGCGGAAGGGGTCCCAAAGGGTGAATGCGGGAAGCCTTTGGGAGCCGGAAGGAGTTTTGGTGTCAGGGGCACCCTTTCTCATCCACCTCAGGAAAGCAACAGCGCCAGCACCGTGGGAGACGGCAAGTGACATACGACCACATGGTCAGGCGGACAAGGGAGAGTGGCAGGGCCTGTGGCAAACCGGAGCGCAGGGCTCTGTCAAAGGGCAGGCTGCGTCTCATCTAGGGATGATTCTGTCATGTGGCAAAATGCCATGTTTCCGGGGCAGGCTGCCCACTGGATTTTCACCTGGGATCTGCTTACTTTTAAACATTGTCAACTAATAATAATCGTTTCAATGGCTGGAGCGGGCCAAATAAAACACATCCGAGAGCCAGACCTGCTTCCCTGCTTTCTGATTTCCTCCAACAGCAACTGGCGTCCAGCAGGGAAACTGAGACACAGAGCTTCAGGGACCCAACTGAGACTGAAGAAACCCGAAGCTGCCTTTCATTCTCAGACAGCTGCTGGAGTCTACTTTATTTTTAAGCAGGAAGAATACGTAATTGTGTACGTGTGTGTGTCTCTGTGTGACCGTTTACCGGTGTCTCTGTGGACGTGCATGTCTGTGTGTGTCTGCGTGGATAAATGTGTCTGTTTAGATGTCTGTATGTGTGGGCACGCGTGCATGCACAGACAGGCGAGAGAGCTGGCAGATGAGCGTTTCTGTCTTTGAAAATTTGCTTCCTTAGTCCTGGCTTGGCATATGTTCGTGTTAGAAATAGTTTATTTTGGCTGGGTGCGGCTCAGTGGTGTAGTGCTTGCCTAGTATGCACAAAGCCCTGGGTTCCATATCCAGCACCACCACCAGGAGGAGAAGGAGGAGGAGGAGGAGGGGAAGGAGAAGACAGGGGGGAGGGGGAGGGGGAGGAAGAGGGAGAGGAGGAAGAGGAGAATTACTAAGCTCACTTCCTCCCTGCAGCCCTCCCTTCTGATACTGGGGATGGAACACAGCCTTTTTACTTTTCATTTTGAGACTGGGTCTTGCTAAGTTGTACAAGCTTGCCTTAAACTTGACATTGTCCTGCCTTGAACTCCCGAGGAGCCTGGACTTCAGGCCTGTGCCACTCTGCGCAGCTGTCTATTTCTTCTTGAGCAGGACACTCAAAACCATTTTGCTTTTCTCATGATAGTTCACAGATGCTTCTCCTTTTCCTTTGAGGTCCAGGATGACCCAAGGGTTATGAAGTCTCACAGATTTCAGAGTCCAGTGAGCAGAAAGAAGTTCTAGAAGCTCAAACTGCTTTTCTGAACCAATTTACCAACTTCTTTGCTTTACAGAGGGGCCACAGGGTCATCGTCTCCCAGAGGGACAGCTGGAGGGTCCCGTGGGGCCAACAGGCCCTGGGCGGGAGAACTGCCGGGCTCTAGCAAAGCCCCTTAAGTGTCTGTTGAGTAAGTGCAGACGAGGAAATGATTGGCACAAGTAGGGCACGATCTGCTCCAGCTTCCTCCCACCATCAAGGCACGGCACAGAGCGCAGGCTCAGACCAGTGCTGTTTCCGGAACACGGCAAGTTACTGCTGAGCTACCACCTGGCCAGCCAGCCCGCCCCATCCATGCTGGTCCTCTCAGCCCATCTCTGAGCCCCACACCACGTGCACCTGTGCTCTGTCCCCACCAGTGCTCCCCATGTTTGGGTGAATTCCTTGATTTTCCCTAGAAGCAGGGGGGGAGGGTCTTGGCCTGAGCTGGGGACCCAGGAGGGAGAGGGGTCTTATCAGCTCTGCTTTCCCCGTCTCGGGTGGCTTCTGCTCCCCTGGATTTGTACCCATTTTTACCTGGATTTGGATCTCATCCGACAGCTCTCTCGAAAGGCCATGTAGCTGTCCAGCCCTGGGCTCCTGAGCCCGGACCACCACCTGAAGCCCAGTTCGGCCTTTCACCCGGCCATGCACGGCCATGGCAAAGTTGTACTGCGACGGGAGCCGGATGGATGCCTGGGGAAGACATCAGACATGCTTTCAGGGGAGAAGCCCAGGACCTAGCACCCCTAAAGAGGCAGATCTGGGCAGACAGGGCCCTGGATTCCCCAGGGCTCAGGTCCCAAGGCCTCTGCTCCCTGATAACCCCCGGTTGCACACACAGCCCTCATCCCAGCATAGTGTTGCTGTTCCCCACAGGCCTGCTGGTGTGGAAGACCCTTTGAGCACCCCTGTGAGGCCGGGTCCTTATGGCCAAAGCCCTCTGAGCCCTGACACCCAGAGGAGCTGGGGCTTCATGGAGCTTCCTGGCAGAGCCTGCTGTCTTGAGCTATCTGTCAATGAGTCACATGGCCAATGTCCCAAGGGAACATCTGGGGAAGTTCCCCACTGTGGGGACAAGACCTTGGCCCCACCAACAGGAGGAGGACGGGTTTGTCCTAGATAATGCAAACTCAGGGTCACCTTCAGGAAACCTGTCCCTGTGCCGGGCCCATTCCCAGGATGGAAGCCCCACTGGCCACAGGGGCTGTTTCTGACTCCGGTGAGCACAAAGCCAGCTACAAAAGGTCTGCCTCGCCTTCCAGCTCTGAGACCTGAGGGCCCGAGAGCCATGGCCAGAGATAACAGAAGGGGGGTCTGCCTCTGGGATAAAACATGAGCACAATGGCACAGCATCATCTCGGGAGGGGTCAGAAGTGGCAGGCAGGCTCTGGAATCTTCTGGAACATGTGCAATGTCCCCATGGAGCTGCTCATGTTAAGGCCCTCTGTTTTATAGAGTTGCCCACTGCCGTGGCGTGGATGAGGCCTGACCCCCAAAGGTTCCAGTGTTGGAAATTTGGTCCCCATGGCAACAGGAGGGTGGTGGGGCCTGTAGGTTTGGGGCTCAGTGCAAGACGAGTGGGTGGTTTAGACCCCTGTCATTGGGAGGGACTAACACAAGATGGCACGGGCCTGGGTTAGTCCTTGTGAGAGAGGTTTTTATGAAAAGAGTGAGGCTCTTCTCTCCCTGCTCATGGCTTCCTGTCTCGCTGTGGGACTCCTGCTCTCTCACATGCCTCTCACATGACCTGGGGCTAGGCACACAGCTGCACAGGGGCTGGCGCCATGCTCCTGGGTCTCCAAAAGAGCCCAGTAACCTCTTATCTCCATAAGGCACCCTGCTCAGGTATTCTGTCACAGCAGAGGAACATGGACGGACCCCTACTAAGCCACCTGCAGCGTCCCACTGCGCCTGGGCAGGAGGAAGAAAGGGACCAGGAGCACTCTGGGCACCAAAGTCCTGTGAGACAGTGTGGTCGGAACCCTGCCGGCCCCCAGGACGCTGGCCTGCAGCCGGGGATGGAGGGGATCTGTGTTGGGTGGTTACCTCGTGGTAGCGCCCTCGGAGGTCCAGGATGTCCCGCTTGGTGACAGACCAGTGGAAGGTCAGGCCTGGAACAGCATTTCCAAAAGAGAATGGGCTCTGGCTGCTGGTGATCCCGGTGACATAGACAGGCATCTAGGGGAGAAGCCAGGCCTGGTAACCATGGTGGTCCCAGTGCCGGGGACGCTGTGTCTCCCAGGTAGCTTCCCGCTGCTTCATGCAGGGTGCAGGTGCGGGAACTTCTGACAAAACACCCCACAACCCAACCAGTAGCAGCCCCGGGCCCTGCCCACCCTGTCCCTGTCCAGCCATGGGTCATGTGCACTGAGACCCAATTCTGGAATGATCCTCTGTGGCTCTGGGATGGCTGCAGCCACCCCCAGCAGCACAGCTCACCCGAGCCAAGTGCACCCCTGGTGTGGGAAAGTGGCCAGGGGCCTCAGCCAGGAAGGACACAAAGACGAAATCAAGGCGGTGAATGCCAGGCCTGCAGGAGAAGCCTCATGGGCACCCACCTGATATGGAGTGGGAAGCGGGGCTTGAGGTGGGCCGGACAGATAAAACAGCGGCTCCACAGATGAAGCAGAAGTGGAGACCCCTCACACTGGGAACAGTGCTCTCCCATGGCTCATTTCAAGCCAGGGTTGGGAACCCAAGACCCCTGGTGCCCACGGGCCCCTGCCTCACCTGAGTGCCTGTCCGCATTCGCGTGATGGGCGCCCGGATTCTCACTGCCTGCAGCTGCAGCACCTCCACCTCCACGAGGTCCTAGGATGACAGTCCTGGGGCTCAGCCAGGCTGGGGGCACTGGGGCTTCTGCTCAGAGCTGCATGATGCTCACATGCTTGGGCGTGGGTTGTCCTGGGAATCCCCTCCTGCTCTGACCTGTGGACCCATCTGACCCAGCTGCTGGAGGCCAGCACTGCAGACCTGGCACAGAGACCAGAGTCTGCTCTCAGGCTGGGCAGCCCTCCGGGGACAGTCTCAGATCTTCCCGCTACCCTCCTTCCTCCTGTCCTCTCGCTCATCCCATTAGTCTGGCCAGAGTACCTTTCCTGTGTTCTCCACAGAGCTGCTGACATGTGCTGAACTCGGGCTACTAAAACCCTTCCATCTTTTCAACATGAGCTCATGCCGAGCTTGTCTTCTGGGCCCTGTGAGGGGCCAAATGCTCGGCACACATGGGTGCTCGGTGAGCGTCCCTTCCCTTCCTGTCCTCTGCTCGTCTCATTGCTTCGTCCCCTCCTGCCCCGTGACCATTGCAGCATGGGTCCTAGCCTTGCTAAGGACCACCAGACCTTCTCCCAGGCCTTCCAGGGGCTGGGCAAGATCAAATGCAGAGAGGAGAGAGGGCTGCAGGGAGCCCAGGCTGGGTGCCTCTGGCTGAATTTCTAGCTGCCTGCCCTTTCAGCCTCCTGGGCCCCTGGGAGGAGAAGATGAGCCAGTTCCTGAGCCAAACCCTTTCTGTAGGGAGGAAGAGTAAAAGCAGGGCCTCCTAGGGTCCTGCACTTTACTCTGTGGGCCACCTGTCTGCACCCTGCCGCACCCCCAGGACAGATTCAAGTGCTCAATGCTTTTTGCCATCTTTGTGAAATCAATACACAGAAATTGTGGCACCCGGCCCAGCCATCCCAAAAGACTTTGTGGTTTAACTGAGAAACTTGAAGGCCGACATTGGAACTTCAGGGGAAAAAAGTCAACGAGTGAACTCAGTGTGGGATCAAAGTCAGCCTGGAGGATTGGTCAGGCCCCTGCAGGGCAGCACACTCGCCTGCTCCTGCAGGCACTGTGCTTAGATGCTCTGAGTGCAGAGCCCTCGAGGTCAGATGAGCAGTGGGAACAGCGCACATCTGAAAGGGCACTTGTCCACAGCCACGCTGTGTGACCCAGCACTCCTCCTAACAGAGCAGCTTCCTGGGGGCTGTGAGAGGACCACAAAGCGGCTCTGCGGTGCCTCTGCCCATCATGAAGGGCCAAGATGTCAGGGGACCCTGCAGGCCCTTGTGTTTCTCATCCCTGACCAAAGAGCACCCACCCTGGGAAAGCACGGAAACTGGCGCCTCTCTAGAGCGACCAGCGAGAGGCAGGGAGACCCCTCCTGGGGAGACTGCTCCAGCTTGGCCTCCCAGCATCTCTGTGACCCGGGAAAGGAATCCAGAAATGTCCCCACACTGGCAAAGAGGCTGGAGGCAACTTAGCCTCCAGGGGAGAAAAAGACACTTGTGGATGACTCAGGTTTTCTTTTTCCCCCTGAAATACAAACCCAGGTTGGAAAAAGCCATGGTTTCCAGTTATCCACACTGAGCAGGCACACCTCTGGCTTTGGCACACTGTCCCACACATGGTGTGGCTCCTCCACAGTGTCCCTTCATTGTGACCTGAGTGGGACACTCGAGCCACGATGGAAAAGAAAGTGCCAAGGGCCCAGTGCTCTGATGCTGTCCCAAGGCTGCACCTCGGTGGCCATGGGCTACAGGCTGGTTTCTTAGGTAACTCATGGGCAGAGTGGATGGCAAGGTGCTGTGAGGACAGGGAGGTGAATGTAAAGCATCTGCCAGTGCCACAGCTGCCACCTGGGAACTCCTGGGGTGGGGGACCTGAAGGCTGTGTCCTGTATGGAGCAGCTGGAGGACATGGGGAGACCCAGCCTGGGATGGAACAAGCTCGGGCTGCTTTCAGCCGGCCAGGGAAGCAGGCAGGGAGACTGCAGACCCAAGAGCAGGGGAGTCCTCAGGGGCCAGAGCTCCAAACCAGGGCTTCCACACCTGCTGCACCTCTGGCCACATTGACACTGGCTGCCTAGGACCCAGGGTGCCCACCGCAGAGGTGCCCATCCCAAGGCAGGGTTGGAGGGGGCCAATCCCCAGTGGCAAATCTGATACCTGAGAGATGATGATGACCTTGCCGGTCTCTGCATCCACCGCCTGTACAACTCCTGACACAGTGCCGTTGCCAACAGAGAGCCCGCGCACCAGCCCAGTGCCAGCCACAGCCGCAATGCTCTCGTTGCTGATGGAGAAGAGGATGTTGGACTGGGGCTGGGGGCCACCCTCTGAGGTGATCTGAGGGTGAGAAGCAGAGGTGACTGTCATCACCCTCGTCCATCTCCACCCAGCCGTCATCAGGCCAGGACAGGTCCCTGGAGGCTGCACCGTTGGGGCCTGGCCCCGGGTGGGGGTGAGGTGGACAGGACAAGGCCCCTGAGCACCTACCTGCATCACAGCCCCAATAATCAGCGTCACTTTCCTGGGTATCAACCGGAATGGAGGGAAGACCTGGGGTGGAGACAGGACGGGCTGAGGGCTCAAGTTGGTGCCTGCCATGTATATTGCACACCCAGCGTTCCTCTGGATGGCAGGCAAGGGGTTTGGGGATTGCTCCTGAGCTACTTCTGGAGTGGCCTGCACCCCACCCTGTCAGCCAACGCTCTGGGCTCTCTGGGGCATGTTCTGCTATTTGTAACTGGGCCTTACTGCACCAGACACGAAACTCCATGGAAACCAGGACTTTTAATTCATCAGAGACGTCACCCTAAGCATTTTCTCCAAGCGTGGTCTGTAGCCAGTAGCACCGCCATTGCTGGGGACTTGCTAGGAACGAGTTCTCTGGCCCAAGTCAGATGCCAGGAGCCAGAGGTGGCCCTTACAAGTGCTTGGGGACATGCTGATGCGTGTCCAGCTTTATGATTCTCTCACATTCAAGAGTTTCCCAACTCCTTTCGAATGTTGCTTCTGTCACTAAATATCTCCAAACTTCTACTGAAATGAAATGCCTTTCAACAGTGCCCTACTTCAGTGCTTCCAAACTTTTCTGACAAGGGAAGGGGGAGCAGCCGGAATGGACAGGCACTTGAGTGTCTCAGCGCTGCAGCAGGGCAAAACCCCATGCCCTCCTTGGGGGTCCCTCAAAAGTCCTGCTTGGTGTGAGAAGTGCTGCTGGTGAGTGCCCGGGTGAGGTGGCAGAGAGGCTGCTGTGTGCTCGAGGATTAGTTTCGCAGGCTGTGCTATTTATAGGAGGAAATGAATTCCTCCGCACAGGAGAGGAAGGTGCACTTCCATCTGGAGACACAACCGCCTCCGCCAGCTTTGGAGCACGGATTAATAACAGCCAGCCAGCAAGTGTGGTCCAGGCCCACGGCAGAGGCTGGAAGGAGCCAGTCTAAGGCTCCCGCTAATGGATGCACTCAGGCAGCGTTTCCTGGCTCTGGTTGCCTTGGCCTCTGTGAAAACCTAACAAATGACACAAGACAGGCTCCCATCACACATGGATACCACGCGGGGCCCTCAGAGCTCGCCTCATGGAGAGGCTGTCTGCACCAGGACTTGGCTTTCCAGCCCCTTCTGCTTGCATAGACCTCATGGCTGGTGCCCAGTGCCCTCCAAGTGCCTGGCCTAAGGAGTGGAACAGATGGCTGGGTTCTCCCACGAGACCCAACATGTACCTGGCAGCCCCACTTGGCCACAGTTCCCTGGGAACAGTCCCTGCCTATGCCCTTGCCATGGGACAAACCACACCCCTGTGTCACAGAGGGACTCGAAAGTCACCCAGCCCCCTCGTGTGGGTTCTACCAGTCTACCAGTGCTGCCTCTCAGACACTGTGACTGCTGTGAGGTCAGGCAGCACACAGGCTCTTGGTGGTGGCTTCCAGAACTGCGGCTAACACTCCTGGCCCATCACAAAGACATGCCATCCCCCATCGGGAGGGGAAGGACATGTTTACCTCGATCTGCTGTGGGGCTGAGCTGACCCTCTGTCCAGCCTTATCGGTCACACTGGCAGTCAGGCTGGTCTGGCCAATGGCCACGCCATGCAGGAGGAACTCGGCTGTATAGTCATCGAGGGCTTCATCCAGGGCCCTGAAACGGAGGGGAGTGCTGGGATCCCTCCTTGGGAGAAGTAGAGCCAGAGCCTGCGCTGTCCCCGAGGTGTCCTCCCTGACCCTGGTGGGACTCACACTAGCGTGACAATCTGAGAGGCTGCCTGGAGCTTCAAGTCCATGAAGGCGAAGTACTTGGCCAGAAAAGGTTTCTTGTAAGAGTCCAGCACGCGGACGTGCGCCTTGACTGTCTTCCCAATCTCCACCTGTGACACGAGGGACAGAGGCTGGGGTGGCCTTTCTTTGAAGGACCAGTTCTCCAACCTGTGACACCCATGACTCTATGACAGCTTTGCTGACCCCAAACCCAGGGACCTGAGAACTGGGTTGTTGCCCAGAATGATCTCTGGACTCAGCCAACCAACAAAGGAAAAGCAATTAAGTGCTTGCTGTATACCGAGGACACTGAGAAGCACAAATTCCACTGTCTACTCTTATCGGACTAAGAATCTAATTAGGGAGATAAGGTAGACTTGGAACAGCAGCAGGCATACAACAGAGCTCAATATGTGCTCACTTCCCAACGGCTCACACCTGGTGGCGCAAAATATGAGCAGTAACAACTTCAGCAAATGAGGACCAGGAAGGCTTAAGGAAAACAGAATTCTAGTAAGCAGCAGGTATAAGGATGACTGGGGGAATATTTGAAACTAGGTAAGAGAATATTCACTTCTGAGCTAGTAATACACTGTAGCTGGAGTCCAAGCCACAAGAACGTTCCCCTATTCACTACCGACCAGCTGCTGTATCTGCTTGGTAAAACAGGAACTTGACAACAGTGCTCTGGGAGCCTGGCCTCACTTGTCTCTGATATCTGGAGTCATAAAAATCCCGTTTACAAGAAAGAAAAACCTAGGTCTACTATTTATCCATTTTGCAAGAGCACTTGGAATTGGCGAGTTTTATTCACTTGCTACTGAAATTCCAGAGGATCCAAATCTTCTATTCTGAGGAGAAAATTCTTGCCCAGCAAGGTGTGTGCCAGGCTGCTGAGTCACCGTCCTGAGCTAGAGAACACGAATTCCCATGTCAAGGATGATGTGGAGCCAACCTGGAGTGGGATTTATTGCCAAATCTTACGATGTCAACTGGGATGAGGAAATATAACATTGAAAGCAACTCTGCAGCCCCCACACGGAGTACAGGGGAAACAGCAAGAGGCATGAGGATAACGGGGTCACAGCCGTATGGCTTTTCTAGTTTCTATGGGTCGTCAGAAGGACTGCATCAGGAAGCTTCCACTAACCTTGTCAACCACGCGGACGTACAGCTCCTGAATGTCAGACACGTGAATGACAGCCTTTGCTGGGGATGAGAAGGCCAGGCACAAGTCGTGGATCATGACAGTCACGGAGCCCGGGAGCAAAGGGTGCACCTTGGAGGTAGGAGAAGCTTGGTCATGGAGCTGCAGGACCCCTCTCTGCCCAGGGGGCCTGGAACAGTGCCTTCCTCACGGGAGCCACTGGCCAGGGACCACCAGGCCAGCATTTGGAAGTGGTAGACACGGAAAATCCTAACCCAAATGGGGCTCTACCCACCTCTGGTCAGCTAGGATGAGCTGGGAATATAAACACAGAGAGAGCATTTATCTAACTATACATTTTACAGAAAGAAGAAAATGGGCATTTGCACGTTCAGTGTTTATGTACTGAACACGGGCTTGCTGCAACTTGTCATATTGCTTGGGCACGCATTTCAACTGGGTGGTGTTCCAGGCTGGGCAAGCAGCAACAAGTCACGATGCCCATGGGTGAGTGAGCACGGCAGGCTGTCTCACATCTTGACATGCTGCTGCTGCTTGCGGTTTATGATCTCATATTTGGGGAGGGAGAATGAATGCAGGGAAGGAGGGTGAGGCATACAGTAGGCACAGTTATTATTATTATCTGCAAAGTTAGAATTTCAGAATCAGGAACCCGTAAAAATCCATCAGGATTCGGACCCAAAGGAGACAACTAACTGAGACTGCATCACATCCTGGTTAAGCCCTTCAGTGGCTGCCCGTGCTCAGCCCAGAGCCTGCACAGGCAGGGTATAGCCTACTGCTCCAGTCTCACCACGAAGCACACTGCCCCATACCCTCAAGTTCCAGCCGCACTGGCCTTCTCTCCCATCCTCGAAGCCATAGAGCTCCTCCTGCCTGCCTCAGGGCCTTACAGTCTACCCCAAAGATCTAGGACTTCGGAGTGGGGGTGCAGCTCAGTGGTAGAGCACTTGCCTAGCAGGAACAAGGCCCTGGGTCTATCCCTAGAACTGAAAAAGGTAGTTTTCAGACTCTTCTTTCCCCAGGCTTATTTCTGGGTCCAATTTAGCCCTCAGGAGCTGGTTTCCCTTACCCTCCTAGTGGTTCATCACCATTTGTAATTCAGTCCGGATGCAGGCATCTCTTCAGCTTATCCTTCCCCTCCAGGCTGTCCTCAGCCCATGGCAGCCTCAGGAGGGAGCCAGGTGTCTGGCACAGCCCAGTCTCTGGGCATGTGCCTTGATTAGATAAAGGGTCACAGCTTTGAGGAATTCTGACAAAGTACAGAAACCTGATGCTGCTTCAGTCAGGCTGGGTGTATTGCAGACAGCAAAACTAGCTTAGTTAATTAAAACTTGGAAATTCTACAAGAAGTTCTGCAAAGACCACACACCCTCATCCAATCCCTTTGATGTACAGTTGGGGAAACCGAGGCCAGATTTGAAGGGGTGGTGCTGGGGACCAAGTGCAGGCAGCCTAGCTCTCAGTCTGGGTCTTCCTCTTCCACACTCTTCCCTTTCTGGGGAAACAGGGCTGGGTGCCTCCAGCAACCAGAACGGAACTTCCAGGTAAGGGAGGAGAAAGAGGAGTCAGCAGGAAACGGCCACATTGAGCAAGGCCCAAGCCCACAGGGAGCTGGGGGCATGCAGGACTGGCAAGCGGAGCCCAGCTGCCAACAGCCAGTATAGCTGAGCTCAAGGGTACAGTCACACAGACAGGGCATGCCTGGGTCATTTCATACAATGGCTTCAAGTAGATCAATCAAGGTTCCGGGGTGGGAGTCATGTTTATGCTCCAAAATGACAGGGATGGGATTTGAGCTGTTGCCACCCCAACAGGCTTGGTATTAAATACAGGCCAAGGAGTGGTCAGGGAGCCACTGGGTGCCTGGGTTTGCTGGGAACAACTACTACATTTCCCCCCCGAGAAAGCCTACTGCAAAATTACGGGGAGGAGCAGAGCTTTCTTTAAGAACACAGTGTGAAGCCCTGATCCGATACTCATGCAGAACTTGCTGCTGTCAGGAGCCAGCACGTCCTTCACAAGGCGAGGAAATTACAGTGTGCCCACCACCACCAGACCCACGCAGGAGAACGCGGGCAAAGGCTCCCCCCACACCTTCAAAGGGACCATTTTACATGCTTTAAACAAAGCCATAAAATGATGGTGGGGAAATCAATTCTTCTTCCACTTCATTTCCCGGAGGATGGATGCCTTGCCGGCCTCTGGATGACAGAAGCGGGGGAAGGCATCACGCTGTCCTCGAGGGAGGGCCTGGCCTGCTCCACACTCTGACGCACGTCGCTCTTGCCAGCCTGTCACCGTGCTTTCAGTGGGGGCTCAGGTCACTGGGGAGACAGAAGCTGTGTGCGGGGAGGCAGGGGCATCGCTGTGAGCTGGTGGCCAAGTGGCACCCGCACTGCATCTGACCAGACTGCACAAGTGGCCCACACTGCCCCACTCCTCCCAGCATCTGTCTGTGACCCAGGCACTTCATGACAGGATGCTCAGGAGGGAAAGGAGGCTGAGCAGCCCAAGCTGAGAATGAGTTCTGATTTCTAAGTGTTGAAGGTGCCACCTGAGAACATCAGCAGTAACTGAGCCCAAGGGGGAGTCCTGTCATCGGCTGAGAGACAGCGAATGCATTATGCTCATTAAGAACCCGCAACGTCTGCAGGCACTTGCCAGGCCCACAGGAGTGCCTGTGTCCTCTCGACTCCCCCCTTCCCTGGGCTCTGATCACACTGCAGACTTGTCTCCTGACAGGGGTGCTCGGGAGAGGACCGAGGAGCCTATCAATATTTCTGACTGTCAGCTTCCATTTCCTCCAGTGGCCTCAGCAACGTTGTGTGGTGGTCGAGGTCTGCATGCAAGAGGGTCAGACCTGTGCCCAGGGTTCCCGCCTTCCCATCCTGCAGGGAATGATGGAGCTTGGACAAAGATCAAGACACCAAGGGGGCCAGCTCTGGGGGCTGCTTGAGGATGGGGCGGGGGACGTGCACCACAGGCTACAGGCACACCGTGACGCTACACTTCGCAGGACCAGAATGGAGTCCCAGCTTTGTCACTGCTGTAGCCCTGGCACCTGGCAGGCACAGGAGCCTTGCTGAATCAATGCACTGACTGGAAGTGTGAAATGCTCAGCGCAGCAGGCCTCTTCCTTCCCCTTGCTCTTACAGTGATGCAGGCTCCGCTCAGAGCACTTATTTTGAAATGTAAGGAATTGTTGAGAAGAAATAAGCCCTAAGTTTAAATCAGGTAAACACCCCTCTATGTCAGCCAGCCAAAAATGAAATAAAGGCACCCTTGCGAGCCTAACTAATCATAGCCCTGCACAGCCCGGTGCATTGTGTGGGCATAAAGACCGCCACCAGAGCCTTGTGTGCCATGCACACTTGTCTTGCAGAGACATGCCAGGAAGCAGCCGGCGCACACTCAGGAGCCATTCTTGTATCCCGAATGTGTATCAATGAGGAAGAAGGAAGCATTTTCTAGGACCTGAGTGAGGAACGGTTGTGGGCTTTCTTGTCTCTGTGATTAAGGGAAATGAGAATGCTGCTAATTAGCAGCTGGAAAATGCCAAAGGAATGTGTGAATGTGTCCTTCAGAAGCAGCTCTCTGAAGGAGCTGCGGGGACCCAGACCCATCACAGATTATCAACACTGTTTAAAATCCCTCCTGTGGTTTATGGGAGATTTGCACCTGGAGTTTGGGGACTCTGCCCCAAGCCCTGGACAGGAGGAAGTAGAGACCAGTCAGGGTGCTGCATGGGACCTGCTGGGTCAGGAGCAGTTCTCGGGGGCCTGGGTCACAGGTGTCAACTCCCAGAGTACAATGCCAGCCTGGTCCTGGTGTCACACTTGTCTGGGGCTCTCTGTCCCACTCAACAAGAGCCCACAAAAGCAATGCAATGTGGATGGGCCAGCAACCTGGCCACAGGACAGGGGCCAAACTGTGACAGCTCTACTGGGTCATGTGTGACAGGGGGGCACTGGAATTTGTCTTCATCGGAACTGCAGAGGTGATCTGGAAGGGTAGCATTTTTGGACTGCACAGGGGCTCAAAGCCCTCCTGGGGAAGCTTGATTCTGGTGCTGGAATCTCACCATGACAAGTGTCACGGTGAGACACTTCCAGACAAGTGTCCTGGCTTCTTGAATGCCTCCAGAGACGGAGTCCTCACTACCCACAGAGGCAGTCCAGTCCGTCACTGACTCCTAGGCCTGGACAAGAGTCTCTCCCTGGACACAGGCTGCCCTCGGGGCTTACTTAGGTTGTCCCGTATGACGTCAATGAGGTGTCACGGGCAACATCCACACCTCTCCTAACCTGCACTCCTCTACTAGATAACACAGGTGTTGTTATTAATCTCCGGGACAGCAAGACAAGGCATATTTCTGGCACTCGGAGTTACTTAAGATTGAGGTTTTCCTTTTAATACCAAGGGCTTGACAAGGCCCATCCCTCACATGGTACTGGCAGAACAGCTGGGGAATTACTTCTTTCACAAAAGGAATAAAAATGCTGCAGAGCCAGGGCAGTGGCACACATCAGTAATCCTGGCTACTCAAGAGACTGAGGCAGGAAGGCTGCCTGACCAGCTGGGAGACCCAGTGAGACCCCCGACTCAAAAGGAAATAAAAGTTTTACAGGGCATCCCCAGCAGTGGCAGTGTGTGGGCTCCTCACGCTGCTTCTCACACACACCAGACCCCAGCTTGGAGGGCTGCTTCACACCCAGCTAGATTTCTGTTTTCTCTCAGAAGATCAGAAGGTCTGGCCTCACATAGCCCCATTGCTGCACATCAAATGGCAGCTGAAGTTTCTGCACGACAGCATGACAAGGTCTGCAGCCCAACCCTCAGGAGGACTCGTGACAATCCTAACACAGCCACTCCTCTAGAGACCTCAGGCCGTGTTCTGATCACACACAGTGAATGAAGAGACGTTTATTCACACACATCTGAAATGCAGAGGAAGTACAAGAATCTGCCGTACCAGAAACAGTACCCGTCTGCCCCCTCCTTCTGGCTCAGCAGGGGAGAGACTGCCCTCCTTGCTGGCCATTCCCTCAGAGGCTCCTGCACTGTTCGGTTCCCAGGCTGGGGACTGTCTTCCTGGGAGGCCCACAATG